AGGGGATGAGGTGGTAGGGGGTGGGTGGAAGGTGGTGGATCAACTAATGATATGTGGGATAATTTATGTGAGAAATACACGGGTGGCTCAAGAGGTGAATTCAGTGTGAATAGTGGATGGAGTATTGAAAAGACTTGGTGGTTTGAGGGCGGCGCAACTAACGCTGCATCAAAGAGTAATAGTGACGAACGTGCTATTGTACAGCAAGATATGGCATGTCGTTGTCATGTACTCGCTGATGAGACGTGAGGTGAAACGTTTACAACATGGGGTTTTTAGGTTTATATGGGGATCGGGCTGCGAATGGTTAAGTAGAGCGGTGTTAACACTTCCGGTCAGTCGAGGAGGGCTGGGACTTTTACCTCTGGAAAAAAGGATGATGAGCGTGTACCTAAAACGAAGTTATATAAGGGAGGGGGGCGGGAGGGGAGGTGGACTTGTGCGAGTACGTAAGGATATGCAACGGTGGGGGGGGTAGGGATTTAATAGTTGGTGAGGCCATGTTGAGGTTATTAATGACAGTGAGGGATCCGTCGTGTGTTAAATTGCGGGTCCTTGAAGGAGAGGAAGGTAGGTCAGTGGTGGCTGCTGTTGAAGGGGCATACCCTATGTATGAGTGGAACGAAATATGGACGCGTCTAAAACAATTACGTGTAAAACCGGGTGTTCAGGAGGTAATGTTTACATTTTTACATGGGATTTTGCCGTCTGGGGTTGTCCTATTCAATAGGAGGATAAGGGAGGGAGGGGAATGTAGAGCGTGTGGAAGCATGGAGACAATTTTGCATGCGGTATATTTTTGTGACTGTATAGAAGTTGTGCGGGTCTGGTTAGGAAAGGTGTTCAGGTTAGTGGGTGAGGGACGGTTGCAGGTGTTGCGGGCTTTAAGTTTGGATATAGGTGGGGTGAGTAAGATGGTGGAGAATGCAGTGGCGTATTTGGTCACGGATTTTATATATACGTCATGGGCCATGAGGGAGGTGGGCGTGGATGAGAGGATAAAGGTGTTAGCTGCGACATTTTACAGAACTAAGTGTCGTAATAGGGAAATTTATGGAGGGAGTTGGGAGAACGCTTTTACTGAGGGCTATCGGAGTTTTAGGTTGGGGGATTTATGGGATTTACGTGCAATGTAAGGGGTCGTGGCGGGCTGGCTTCCCGATAAGGACAGTGTGAAAGGGTTTAGTGTGGAAGAGAATGAATATAGTACTGAGACATAAGTGCCTTTGACTGTATGATGAGCGGGTTGTGTGTTGTGAACGATACAAGTTCTTCAATTTAATTATTAATTATGCTAATGACAAAGGACGACAGACGTCGTAATGTGATGGAATATTATATATCTGCAACGAAATTATTGGTATGTGTGTAATGAAATGACAATGTGGGTGCACTGTGTGAATGTGAAATATATATATACACATGAAGTATTGCGTGTGGTAGGAAGGCTTCAGTATTTATCGAGGTGTGAAGGTCATGCACTGTTATGTTTTGTGCTAACAGACTTACATCTTAGTAGTGGTTTTAATGATTTGGGTGAAATATTTTTAGAAAGCTTGACTTATCCTGTTTTCTTAATACATATTGTTTTTTTCATGGGAGCTCTATAGAGCCCGTAGGTTTAGGTTACCATTGAATTGATATATATTATAGGGTAATTGATGGATGACATAGGATTAGGTATTTGTAGTTTCACTGGTTGTGTTGTAAAGTGTATGTAACATATGTATATATTTATACCTTCCTGGAGAAGGTGATATGTTTGGGTGTTTAGTAGATATACGTTGTACATGATTCATGTAGAATTGAATTTTATATTATATCAATATATTGAGTGATACTGAACGTATCATGTTGTTCAATATGGAATAATGCAAGTATTTCATACAATATACAGTTACATATAAAGATTGTTACGTGTCAGGTGGATTGACATGCAAGAAGGGAGGGGTAGTGTTTTCAGAATGTAAGGTGTACATTCCGTGGCAGGATGTACAATGTAAGGTGTACATTCCGTGGCAGGATGTACAATGTAAGGTGTACATTCCGTGGCAGGATGTACAATGTAAGGTGTACATTCCGTGGCAGGATGTACAATGTAAGGTGTACATTCCGTGGCAGGATGTACAATGTAAGGTGTACATTCCGTGGCAGGATGTACAATGTAAGGTGTACATTCCGTGGCAGGATGTACAATGTAAGGTGTACATTCCGTGGCAGGATGTACAATGTAAGGTGTACATTCCGTGGCAGGATGTACAATGTAAGGTGTACATTCCGTGGCAGGATGTACAATGTAAGGTGTACATTCCGTGGCAGGATGTACAATGTAAGGTGTACATTCCGTGGCAGGATGTACAATGTAAGGTGTACATTCCGTGGCAGGATGTACAATGTAAGGTGTACATTCCGTGGCAGGATGTACAATGTAAGGTGTACATTCCGTGGTAGGATGTACAATGTAAGGTGTACATTCCGTGGCAGGATGTACAATGTAAGGTGTACATTCCGTGGCAGGATGTACAATGTAAGGTGTACATTCCGTGGCAGGATGTACAATGTAAGGTGTACATTCCGTGGCAGGATGTACAATGTAAGGTGTACATTCTGTGGCATGATGTACAATGTAAGGTGTACATTCCGTGGCAGGATGTACAATGTAAGGTGTACATTCCGTGGCAGGATGTACAATGTAAGGTGTACATTCCGTGGCAGGATGTACAATGTAAGGTGTACATTCCGTGGCAGGATGTACAATGTAAGGTGTACATTCCGTGGCAGGATGTACAATCAGGAATTAGATGTACTTGCCAAGGGGTCTTTAGGTTAGATTTAGTGTTCCAGACATAATGTCATTACTTCAAGGATTGGAGCGGTCATTGTTTACTGTACAGATTTGTGTCTTTCAGATGTAATATGTTAATTGGAAAGTACATGTACTATGCAGAATTTTTCATCACTGTTTTCACTATGTAATTTGTCGTTTATTTTTATGTATTATGTATGTCTTTTAAATAAAATATGAAAAAAAAAATCTTCAACACATCCCTTGAAACAGGGCAACTACCGGAGGTATGGAAGACAGCAAATGTAGTCCCCATTTTTAAGGAAGGAGACAGAAATGAGGCACTAAACTACAGACAAGTGTCACTGACGTGTATAGTATGCAAAGTCATGGAGAAGATTATCAAGAGGAGAGTGGTGGAACACCTGGAACGGAATAAGATAATAACGCCAACCATCACGGATTTATGGAAGGCAAATCCTGTGTCACAAACCTTCTGGAGTTTTATGACAAGGTAACAGAAGTAAGACACGAGAGAGAGGGGTGGGTTGATTGCATTTTCCTAGACTGCAGATAGGCCTTCGACACAGTTCCTCGCAAGAGATTAGTGCAGAAGCTGGAGGATCAGGCGCATAAAACAAGAAGGGCACTGCAGTGGATCAGAGAATACCTGATAGGGAGGCAATGAGTCATGGTACGTGATGAGGTATAACAGTGGGCGCCTGTGACGAGCGGAGTCCCACAGGGGTCAGTCCTAGGACCAGTGCTATTTTTGGTAAATGTGAATGACATGATGGAAGGGATAGACTCATAAGTGTCCCTGTTTGCAGATGATGTGAAGTTAATGAGGAGAATTAAATCAGATGAGGATCAGGTAGGATTCAAAGAGACCTGGACAGACTGGAGAAAGGCCTTGGGTGAGCATAACACCAAGCACGTCTCCAGAAGCACTCATTAACCAGATAATTGCTGCAGTAAATGGGCGCTTGGCAAACCTGAGAATAGCGTTCCGATACTTTAGTAAGGAATCGTTCAAGACACTGTACACCGTGTACGTTAGGCCCATACTGGAGTATGCAGCACCAGTTTGGAACCCACACCTGGTCAAGCACGTCAAGAAATTAGAAAAAGTGCTAAGGTTTGCAACAAGGTTAGTCCCGGAGCTCAGGGAAATGTCCTACGATGAAAGGTTGAGGGAAATCGGCCTGACGACACTGGAGGACAGGAGGGTCAGGGAAGACATGATAACGACATATAAAATACTGCGTGGAATAGATAAGGTGGACAGAGGCAAGATGTTCCAGAGATGGGACACAGAAACAAGGGGTCACAATTAGAAGCTGAAGACTCAGACGAGTCACAGGGATGTTAGGAAGTATTTCTTCAGTCATAGAGTTGTCAGGAAGTGGAATAGTCTGGCAAGTGATGTAGTGGAGGCAGGAACCATACATAGCTTTAAGACGAGGTATGACAAAGCTCAGGGAGCAGAGAGGGGGGACCTAGTAGCAATCAATGAAGAGGCGGAACCAGGAGCTGAGTTTCGACCCCTGCAACCAGAAGTAAGTGAATACAATTAGGTGAGTACACACACACACACACACACACACACACACACACACACACACACTGAGAGGTGTATATCTCAGCGAAAATGCACTGAGACTGCCATATACACTGAGAAAGCAAGAATGCATACATAAAGAGCCGTGTATCTCTATACTGCATACACTGTGAGTTTACATTATTTAAAAAATTTAATATATATACCGAGAGGTCTATTTGTATATACACTGTACTGAGAATCTAGTGTAGTCCCTATTTTAAAGGTTAGGTTACTACTGACTGTTGGCCCCTCAAGGAAGGTTCCTTGATGTTGGTGAGGGGCTCTTGATTTAGGGAATTGGATCTGTGCTCCAGTTCCCCGAATTAAGCCTGAATGCCTTCCACATCCCCCCCCCCAGGCGCTGTATAATCCTCCGGGTTTAGCGCTTCCCCCTTGATTATAATAATAATAATACTGACTGTTGGTAAACCATCGCCTGGCGACCTTAACGACCCGTGAGTAGTTAAGAAGCTTCAAACCCAATTAATCAACCATCTAACTTTAAAATTTAAAGAAATATACGCAAAAAAATCCAGACCTGTTCGAGGGATTAATTCCTTAGACAAAATATAGACCTTTAGTGTTGTGGGGGTCAGTGTTATTACAGAACACGTGTCAGACCTGTAGCATGTACAAGGGTGCAGCCACGACCCAGCACTACACCCTGCCAGTTCTCAGTCTATGGTTGTAAGAGAGAGGTGGCAGTGTGTGGCGGGATTTGGTCATTCTTTAACCCACTGTGATTATTTCCGTGTCTACGATGATGTCTCTGGGGTAAGTTTGGTTGATCGTGGTAGTGTTTAGTTAAGAGAAATTCTTTGGACAATCTCTCAAATGTGGATATTAATAGACAAAGTCTGAGGCCTATGTTATGTGGTCCTGGTGTAACCTACGTGTACCTAATCCGCTAGGGGCGCCACCATCACACACTGATAACTTCTTATTTTGAAGATTAATAATAACTGCATTCGGAAGCTTTTTAAGTGCACTCGAGAACCTCGATTAGTTTTATTCTCAGTTTTCTTAAAACTGTTGAAGGAATCCGGTTCCATGATGGATCTAATTACATATAATGGTAACTAAGCGCACTTGGGAGTTACTGTATGAGCAGTTTAGACTGAGGCAAGTTTATTCAGGTATACACAAATAGTTACATAGAATTATCATACATAGCAGCATGTGTAGATAACTTAGGATAACCCAGAAAAGTCAGACAGAGACTTATTTCCATTGGGGGCCTTTTACCTTATTATAATAAAGGTTATAATATTTTCTTATTATTCTACAATGAAGATAACATCTTATTATCATACTAAAATGACTATCTACTACACGAGGGTCATTAAGACTATCTACAATACGAGGGTCATTACTAGGAATGGTAAAATTTACACGTATGTTAGCTAAAAAATAGAAAATCATTCCCCTCCCTTTCTGTAGCTACATTCATCAGACACTTTTTGGCACTCTTCTTGAACTGGTTCATGCTATGACTGGCCTTGGCATGTGCAGGCAGTCTGTTCCATTCCTTTATTGCTGTACAATAAAAGGTGTTTGAAGCCTGGCCACTGACTGTGGCTACTACAAAGTTGTGCTCTCTCCCCCTAGTACTATGATTGCTTTGGTTCCCAACCTTGACAAAATTGACAGCAAGATATTCTGGACACTGTGAGTAATTTTATAAACATGATTTAGCTTCAGTTGTTTTACTGTCTTCAACATTCAGCATATCCAACTGCTGTAATTCATCCTGGCCTACATGTTCTCTTGGTCCCAGCCCCAGGATGAATCTTACGATTTTGTTCTGGGTGATTTGCAGTCTATCTTTCAGTTTTTTTTTTTTTGTTAAGGCAGAGTACCATGAAGAGCAAGCGTAATCCATATGGCATTGTATAAGGGCTAGACATAGGGTCCTGCGAGCCTCAGTAGGTAGACACTGTGCTTGTCTATACAGGAACTTCAGTCTGGCATTCGCTTTCTTTACTACACTGTTCCCTATCAATTCTCCTGACATGCATGGGTCAAAGGGGATTCCCAGATATTTTACTGATGAAACCAAAGTGATGGACTCCCCATTACACTGGACATTAAAATTATTTACCTTTCTCAGTTTGTTTCGTGCCAAAGAGAATGGCTTCAGTTTTCCCGAGGTGTAATGATAGTTTGTTGTCTACTAACCATTTGCTGCAGGACTCCAGTTCCAGTGTTAAAACATTAGCTATATCTTGTGGGCACCTGGAGTTTACCTGGAGACGGTTTCGGGGGGTCAACGCCCCCGCAGCTCGGTCTGAGACCAGGCCTCATGGTGGATCAGGGTCTGATCAACCAGGCTGCTAATGCTGGCCGCACGCAAGCCGACGTACGAACCACAGCCGGTTGGTCAGGTACTGACTTTAGGTGCCTGTCCAGTGCCTTCTTGAAGACAGCCAGGGGTCTATCCCCCTTATGCTGGGAAGCAGTTGAACAGTCTTGGGCTCCTAACACTTAGTGTTGTCTGTGTACTCGTGACATTCCTGACTTTGAAGAATGTATATAAAAGTCATTGTTTACAAGCCACGATTATCAAAGCTACATAGTCACTCGTTATAATGAATAATTCGTTAAATTCGGTTTATTGATTTCACACAAAGGTATTTTAAAGAAATTAATCTAATTACGTAAAGATTAATAAGAAGTTAGTGTAAATAGTGCCACATTAAGACTATAATAGTAGACCCTCGAATTTCATCATCAAAACTAGTTATTCTGCATAAAATGTATTTCATGTTAATATTTCCCATAAGAAATAATGTAAATCCAATTAATCCATTCCAGACACCCAAAAATATTAACAAAAATACATTAATAGAGAATAACTAATTTTACATACAGAAAAGGGATGACGAAATTCGAGGGTCCACTGTACCTTCAAATTTCGTCAGTTCATATCTTTTACGAACATTATTACCTTTAAGGTAAAAAAAAATGGATGAAAAGCTTCGCCAGACACTTTTGAAAACTTGCGAAGTGTTAAGTGGTTAAAGTGTAATAAATGTTTGTTAATGACACGTGGTAATGCACTTAGGTGCTGCAACACTGAGAAAAGCTTACTTATATTACCTATAGTGTTACTTAAGCTTTAGTAAGCTCCATTCTTCCTTCACTGGTCCAAGGTCCCAGTTGCGAGATCCCAGTTGCAAGGTCCCAGTTGCAAGGTCCCAGTTGCAAGGTCCCAGTTGCAAGGTCCCAGTTGCAAGGTCCCAGTTGCAGGATCCCAGTTGCAGGATCCCAGTTGCAGGATCCCAGTTGCAGGATCCCAGTTGCAGGATCCCAGTTGCAGGATCCCAGTTGCAGGATCCCAGTTGCAGGATCCCAGTTGCAGGATCCCAGTTGCAAGGTCCCAGTTGCAAGGTCCCAGTTGCAAGGTCCCAGTTGCAAGGTCCCAGTTGCAAGGTCCCAGTTGCTTCTTACACGTCAAATGTTTAGCAAGATGCAGGCGCAACATTTGCAACAGTCTTGCTCGTTAACATGTATTATATACCATTTTTCCCTAGTGGGTTTAGCGCTTTTATTATATACAATTTCCATCAAATTTGTCTCGTGAATAAAATATCTGGTCAGGTCTTGGCTGCCAACCTTTTTTTTCTCTATAACCCTTTTGGTTTAGCGCTTCGTTTTGATTATAATTCAACTTTTTTTATTTATTTGCATAAATCCCTCGAGGATGGTACTTCCCCCTAAATGTAATTTTTGAAGTACATTTAGAGTTGTTACGGTGGATATTAGATCAAAAAAGATTGTATAAGTTGACTTAATATTAATAGAAATTTGGTCAGGAAAAAGGACAAGTGTTTCCTGACGTGGGTCTTAACAGCTGGGTTTTTTTTTTTTTGGTCATCTGACCGAGACCTTCCGCTGGCTTCTTACTCTACCTTTCTAAAAATCAACCATGATTATAACCATTATAATTTGCCCTCTTTAATGTCATTTTAAGTATTTCACCTTTTCATAAAGGTGAAATTAGTGAAAAAACTTATGTAAATTACCATAAAATCCTTAAGGATTTAAATTCCGTTAATTATTAATCAAATTTCTATATTTAAATCCAGTTTGTCATTGGAATTTGTTAGTATTTAAAGTACGTTTTGTTTGGCTATTCAGCAGAACTTAGTCGGAGTTGACTCCTCAGGGGATAAGATAAGATTTCGTTCGGATTTTTAACCCCGGAGGGTTAGCCACCCAGGATAACCCAAGAAAGTCAGTGCGTCATCGAGGACTGTCTAACTTATTTCCATTGGAGTCCTTAATCTTGTCCCCCAGGATGCGACCCACACCAGTCGACTAACACCCAGGTACCTATTTGCTGCTAGGTGAACAGGACAACAGGTGTAAGGAAACGTGTCGAAATGTTTCCACCCGCCGGGAATCGAACCCGGGCCCTCCGTGTGTGAAGCGGGAGCTTTAGCCACCAGGCCACCGGGTCACCCTAAGGTTCCTTGATGTTGGTGAGGGGCTCTTGATCCAGGGAATTGGATCTGTGCTCCAGTTCCCTAAACTGAGCCTGAATGCCTCCCATCCCCCCCCCACATGGGTTGTATAATCCTACGGGTTTAGCGCTGCTGCTCTGTTTGCCTTAGCGGCCAACAGAGCAGCAGCCAGGGAAAGTGGCGCCCATGTTACGACCACCTGTTAACTAGGGACAGAAAAAATCCCTGCATACCAGGTTGTCAGTAGGAGCAGGAAAAGTCCACGGTGGTAGGTTTGGACCGGTGGGAATGGCCGGATGTGATTTCCTTCCCGGAGAAGACTGGTTCCGGCTCTCGGGGGACCTAACGAACCATTTCTATTAGAGGCCGACATAGCGACGGTATCTGTCTGGCCATTGCCAAATAATAATTATTTCTACCAGTACATGTACAAGGTGTACAAGTACATGTACAAGGTATACAAGTACATGTACAAGGTGTACATGTACAAGGTGTACATGTACATGTACAAGGTATACAAGTACATGTACAAGGTGTACATGTACAAGGTATACAAGTACATGTACAAGGTGTACATGTACAAGGTATACAAGTACATGTACAAGGTGTACATGTACAAGGTATACAAGTACATGTACAAGGTAATTTAAAAGGGTATAAAAATGTAAAAGGGTTTCAAGTACTGTCAAGGGTACAGTACAAGGTAACAAGTACTGCATGACTGTAAAATATAAAGTCATCCCAAAATTACAATTAGTAAAATTTTTACAAGAATGAAAAAAAAGTCATGCCCCAAAGGTTTTACTTTTACAAGGTGACATGCACAGGGGTAAGGAAACCGCTGTTTTTTTCCCACTTTGGCGATGGGGGCCCAAAAACCGCCTTCCCCCCAGGTACCCAAAGGGGGCCCCCAAAAAAGGGTTTAAAAAGCCCTTTTTCCCCTGGGGGAATAAACCCGACCCGCAACGAAGTTGAGCCCACCCCCCAAAAATATTAAAATGACCTGGGTATCCTTTTTCTGCCCAAGTGCCTTTTTTAAAATTAGTTAAAACCACTGTTGGGTTTTTTGGTGGGGTTTTTTTGTTGTGGTTTTTGCTGTGTTTGTGGGGTGTTTTGTTGTGTGTTTTGTTGTGGTTTTTGTGTTTGGGTTTTTGTGTGTGTTGGGGGGGGGGGGGGTTTGTGTGTGTTTGTTTGTGGGTGTTTGTGTGTGTGTTTTGTGTGTGTGTGTTTGTGTGTGTTGTTTTTGTGTTGTGTTTTGTGGTGTGTTTTGTGTGTGTTTTTGTTTTGTGTGTGGTTTGTGTGTGTGTG